GCAAGTTTACCAAAAGATCTAAGAAATAGAACAAATAAAGTACTTAAAAAAGATACAAACGTCCAGATGGCCCCCGAGTCACAACCACTCAGGGTCGATGCTACATCTGTCCTAGATAGAGTGATAAAAAATCCAAACGATGGTGCAAGACTTGCAAAAAATGGATATGTCCACAACATCAGTTTGTTGTGTGTCAGTCATGTTACGAAAATTACTTAAATTAAAAATTTTCTTAATACGGTATGATAATCTAAGTTTGGAAATAGATAGCCTGAAAAAAGGTCATTCACTTCGTATGCTCTCTCTGTATGCTGCCACAAAAACAAAATACAGAAACAGACTGAATGCTGAAAATAACATTCAGTGGCAGATTTCAACATTATTCCTGATGTAAAAATCCTTTGCGATAAAAAACAAGCACAGTCAAGTAATTAAAAGAATTTTCTTTTTATTAATTTGTTATAATATAAAATATTGTTCCTTTTTTAATTATTCATAAAATGTATTCTAGAAAATAAATAAAATAAAACCTGATTTGCTACCTCACTATTCATTGTTTTATTAAGATTAAATAAAGATACAAGAATAATTTTGCAAATTTGAGTAGAAAAAAGCTTTGATAAACCATTTTATCTGCTACTTAAACATGAGGTTCCTTCAAGAAAAGCATGAGCTCGAAGGGTTCCTAAAAGTGTAAAAGTTTGAAAACCCCTGGTCTAGAAAAATGTGATCTGGTTGGCTTAGTTAATATATCTAAAAGCAGAAATAATTCAATAGTTAAAATAACTCTTAATTTTGTGTATGAGAGAAATTCAACTTTATGGGAATTCTGGAAAGTAAAGCCAAAATTATTAAACAAGTTTAAGAGGAATGTAATCTTCGACCATTTACACAAATCAGCAGTAAAGATTAGGAGGCAAAAGCTAATTTTCACGATAGCCCAGTGTAAATCAAAAGGATAAAACATGGGAGATTTCAATAGTCGCATTGGAGAAAAGATGGATGTAGTCTATGAGAGAGATAGACCTTATATTAGCAATATCTAACATAAGGATAAAGTGATTAATACAACTGGTGAACTTGTATTGAAGTTTGTTCAGGATAATAATTGGGTTATACTAAATGGTAGAATAAAAGAAGACATACCAGCTGACTCCAGGCCAAGGTCAAGGATGACTCAATCACCAGCCGATTGACTCAAACGGAGCCTGATTTGAGCTTCCCATTTATCCAAAGCAGGGGCCAAAGCAGTGGTTGGGGACATTATGTTGTCCCTCAACTACCAGGATCCCCCTTTCCGGCATACGGGACACCACGCACGGCAAACACGTGGTTGGGCGTTCAGATCCCAGGGATGAAAAAAAGAATTACTAAACCATATCTGGGAGGTCCCTTCACCACGGACAGAAACACACATCGAGGGGCTGTACATTCAGACACTGACGTATTTTGCAAAGTATGTAATTGCATAATACAAGTGAAAAATAGGTTTACAAGCACTTTTTGATCATGGAGGTACTGTCAAACAGAAACAAAAACTTACCTGTGCTTATGGTCCAAGACAGTTACACCTGACATTGATTGCACCAGGTGATAGTTTTTCAGGCCCCTCAAAAAATGATGAAATTCCAAATAATACTGATAATGGGACTGGAGAAGGAACAGCAACTGTTTTTGTTTATATAATCCAAGAGATGCTGCATACCATGCAGAACTTGTGTGGTCTATGAAAACAATATGTATTAATTTCTCATTTGCTGCATCTAATAATATGGTTCCAACACTACAAGCAGTGCTTCCAAAAACTAAATTTCCTGAATTTTCATCAATGAGTGGGAAGAAATTGCACTATTTCATAATTGAAGCATTGGCTCCCTACTTCCAAAAAAAATGCTAGAAAAAACCCACTGTTCATTCTTTACAATTAGTTATGATGAAACCAGTAATGTGGAAAGTAAGAAAGAGTTACAGATAATGATTAGGTTTTGGTCAGAGCAAAAAGAACAAGTTTTAAACTACAATAAATTTATGAATGGAGTTGATATGATATGATGATGAATGCGTACTTGGATGAAAGGAAAACCCTCAAATATTTTAAAAAAGTAGCATTCAACATCATAGCCAGGATGATGTTGAATGCCTACATATTGTACAAAGAAAATTCCGGAAGCCAAGGCAAGAAATTGTCTCACGCCAATTTTATTGTGGCGGTGGTAGAAAGCCTGGCGAGAGAATGGAGGGAGAAGCGTGGAGTAGCAGAAATTCAAAATCCCCAGGGACCAAAAGGAATTAAAAAATTACCTGGAAGAACCGCCCTTCGTTGTCGTGTGCAGCACATCAAAACATAAGAAGACTACAACAAAAGCATGCACAAGATGCAACAGGGGTGTGCATGCCAATTGTCTTGTAAAGCATCACTGCTAGCACAAGGTATGTGCATAAATTCATATAATTATAATTCTGTTTTAGTTTTAGCAAAATTTATCCATATATATGTGTACAAAATGATCTTTCTTACAGATATCATCTCTTTTGTTTTTTCCCCCCTAAAGTATGTGCGCTAGCAGACGAGGTAGGTAGTGCATAGTTATTATCAGAGTTATATATGCATGATTCTTGCAAAATGTACAAAACGATATTTTCTCTTACAGATTTGGATCCCGGAGGATGTTCTGTTTCCGCTTCTCCCTCCATTGTGTACGTCTACATTTATTTATTGTATTTATTTATTTATTGTAGTGCATTTTCACATTTCATTTNTTTTCTCTTACAGATTTGGATCCCGGAGGATGTTCTGTTTCCGCTTCTCCCTCCATTGTGTACGTCTACATTTATTTATTGTATTTATTTATTTATTGTAGTTATTCTATAAGAAAAAACTTCATTTACAATATATATCTTTTGTTTTTGTAAAAACTAAAGTAAATATATTTGCTGTTAATTGCTGTCTGTATAAAATTTCAGAAAATTAGAATTTTGTTTTTATGTACAAAGTATGAAAGAAAACAAGCAACTTACTATTATCTATGAGATAGCTTTCATCGACAGACATTTCCTGATGAGGAGTGTAGTGGTGTCAGAACACCCTGTTCGCATGATCCACAAGAGGCTGATATTTGGCAATGCGACCATAACCCAATTCTCCAAGACCAGGTAACATGATGTTATCGATGAGATGGAAGAATCGTAGCAAGTGATAAAAGCAGTGTCTAGAAAACATTTTGCCAAATCACGGAGTAGCTAGGGAGGGAGAAGTGGACCAGTATGAAGCTATAGTTGGTTTTTGATTAGACCCATATTCAGAACACACGCCAAAAATCCTTTCATCTCTGGAAAAGAGACTTCGGACCAGTCCTTCAAATAAGATGGTACATTATGCCCTATGCCATTTATCACTTGCTGAGAATACCGATTGGTTTCTTCTACCATAAGAGACAGCAAAGTACTAGTGAAAAACAGACAGAAATATGCAATAGGAGGAGAATCGGGAGGTGGCATATGTTTTGGGCCAGATTCCTGTTAGAAAGTGAAAGGAAAAGGTTCTTCCAATGAGAGAACCTCGCAATAGTCCTCATCTTCCATTTCGTCATCACTGTCAGAATGTGCAGCGGAGGAGGAGAGAGGCCACATCATCTTCAGGCTCATAGTCTTCATCTTCAAAACTAGAGAGGGAGAAGCGACTTGGAGAAGACACACCCTTTCAGAGTGGAGGTCGTCTCCATCTTCAAAACTGCTTAGATCAAAGTCATTTTCAGAGGCAACTGACATTTAATCTGAATACTCTATTTCAGAGTCACTCATTTGGCTTTGTTCAGACATTTTGTTGAAAAATCCTAATTTAGAATTAAAAAAAAAGTATTACTGTAGAAAATAATACAGTACAGTAGAATCTCGTTATTTTGGACAGATTCAGTTTTTCAGCACTCCCCGTCAGTGTGGCACAAATGAAATTTTCTACTTACCACTCAGTATGTGCAACAGACAGAATGAGGTACAGTGCAATACAGCTGTATTATTATCAGTTAGTTGTTTGTTGCACATGCGGAACATCAAGTAGTTTTTGCTGCATTAATAATTACAGTGGTTTTTGTTGCGGACTGGCACATTGGAAGGGGGATGAGTACCAAGCGTCACGTGACATTTCTCGGAATGACATTCGGTCATGTGACTACTCACTCGTGATGTGTTTCCTGATAACTTAATCCTTCTTTAAGATTAAATTCCTATACAGTAATTCTAAATTAAATAAATAGAAATTTCTTATCTAGATTTACAAAAATATGATTTTATTTTAACATTTAAACTAAAGTGATATAACAATATTATACGTATAATTTATGTAAGATAGGTGACTAATTACATTTAAAGACTTTTGTTTGCTTTATCTAAAACAATAGATAAAGCGTGCGTTAGTGTAATAATCAAACTTTTTGTATTGACTGACCAGTACTTTTGTGAAATTAAATAATTATTAATTTAAAAGGTTTACATTTTTTTCATAGTTACAACTGGATAAGTATTTCCTCACTGGAGATATTATGCAGCAAAAAGGTAAAAAGTCGGTACAGTATGAAGTTTTTGGAATAACGACTGTAATCTCACACAACTGCAGTTATACTTTTAAGAGAGTTGTGGGGTCCCGGGGATAGAGTAGGTCCCTTCAGCTGTAGTTTTTTCAAACAAATTAAATATGTAGATTATTTCTTTATTAATAAAAAGCAATCATAAAGATTTTAACATTTTCTGTTAGTAAATATAACATTAATAGGAACCACGACGGGGCCTGGGAAAAATCTCTAGACATATATAGCAATACTGTACTGTACAATACGATATAATTACATACAATACAAGTGAGAAAAATTCAATTGTAGATTGCTTTATACTTTATTTTCTATTTTTTAAATTTGTTTCTAAATAAACGAATGAAAAGTCACTAAGGTTTGTTACATAGGGAAGAAGGTTATACAAATATTTTATAGCAAAAGATCTATCAAACATAATGGATGAAAAATGGACTAAATAAAGTTTAGAAAAAAAGGCATTATTTAAAAAATGATCAGTGCAGTTTTTAAATGTACTGTTTGCATCGAATAAAATACAAAACTGTTAAACTTTGAATGCGTATTTTTTCTAATGTTCGCACTAACAAACTGTTACATTCACAGGCGAATATCAAACGATAATATGCCAATGAATCAAATTTGCAAAAAATTGACCAAATATTTATTTTCGGCACACTCAACAACCCTTTAAATCGTATTTTGTTCAGGCTGGTAACCTCCCAAGTTGCTAACCTTAACGTCTGCATGACTTAATATACGACTTGTTTAAATAAAATAAAAAAAGAGGGGGTGTGGCAGTGTCGGGATACGGCCGTGTGTTTTACGTAAATACATGTACGTTAACAAGTAATATTTTTACGTTCCCGGCACCGCTTCACTCTATCATATGGTGTTTTATGGGTATCACTGGATTGCTCTTAAAAAGCCCTTTCCAACCAAATACAACTACTATATTTTGATTAGGCTTTTCGACAAGTATACGCCGACATTGTATTAAGTTTTCTTAATTTTTAACTTTAACACCATATATATTCACCATAACTATTCCACACTAATGCAAGAATAATTGTTTTTATGTGATCCCATAAAATTGTAGGCATAAATTCCCACTGTCGTCCGTCTGACGGTCTGTTCTTCCTTAATCTCGAGAATGGAGAGAGATAGATGAAAATCGAGATAGGTGTGGAAATCGTAAGAGAAAAAAAACAAGATAAACTATAAATCAACTTCCAACTTTTACCAAGAGTTACGTTATTTCAATTCAAATATATTTCCTCTGGCCAGAGTTTGATACATAACTGGCACAATTCTATTGATAACACATGATGTACAGGGATAAAACATTACTACACTTCACGTAGGCAAGTGCTATGTGCTACCTATCGCAGTAAAGGCGTAATGGTGCATCTATTTCGCTCTATATCATTGTTGCAGTGATTCAGTGTATCTTAAGAATTACATTTAGTTCATTATTTTGTTAAATTTTTTCCAATAGATGCCTCTATATGTAAAGCCAACAATGAAATATAAACAGAAATTAATCGATATATATATATATAGAAATGCACTCAATAATTTGGGACGTGATGTACAACAAAATCTACATTAGAAGAATTTCAACATAACTGCCGAGTTTATGTAATTCCCTGACTTTCCAGGTCTGTACGTGAAAGAGATTTTTGTTTCCTAAAACTTAACAACACTGAGCGGCTATTGCGGTTTTGTGTCCCGCTCGGGACTGAGTATTTTCTTCCAGAAAATTCTAGTCCGGTAGTTCGATAATTCAACAGATTGTCTGGCTTTAAAAGTATTTTTAATTGGTCCCACATCTTCCTAATTAAGCACGTGAAGATGACCAAAAAAGTAAGAACAGTGAGAGACTCCGTGGCCTGTACGTACTATCGTTACTTTTTGCCCGAGCAACGAGGCGAGTAGTAGTCACGTGACCGAATGGCATCAAACAATGTCACGTGACAAGCTTTGTACGCCAATGTGCCGCTCCGCAACAAAAACAAGCTTAAGCAATGGCGTCTCGAACGGGGCACAATTGGTAAATAGTTCTATTTTATAGTATATTGTATATAGATCATCCCCACAAAATTCTACGTATTTTGGAAATGTTCGAGTAAAATTAGTGTAGAATCGATTAATTTTATGGAAGAAAACCTTTCAAACTGAATAAGTACCGAAATAAATACCCTTTGAAGTTAAAACACTACAGGAGGCTCCCTAATTCAAGCCATACCAGTACATTCCGGGACTGTATAATTATTCCATCTGATTCCCCGATTTTTCCTGATCAATTAACGTCTATGCATATCCCCTTTTCATTAAAAAATATTCTGCCAACTCTAATTCCATTGTGCATATAATTATATAATTTTTTAATGTAAACAAAATACTTTATTTCTGCCTCAAACAGTATAATAAATTCACGATTTTGTTTACATTAATTCGTAAATTTTCTTTAAATAAAAAAAAAGTCTCGAGTTGTATCGTAAAATCAAATTAAAAAGGTGGGAAATTCAAAACATTTAAACAGAAGAAATCACTTATCGCGTCTTATTTTTTGGTACAGCCCAGACCCATTCCAGGTCATTATATTTCTTCCCATCCCTTCCTGAAACTTACAATGGAAGCGACGTAGTTTTGGCGAAAAAGTGGGTGTTTTTGAAAACTCTATAGCCATATTTTGCTAAACTTCCGAAAAATATCAACTTCCTAAATTCCGCAGGCCATCTAAAAATGAAAATTTGCAATTAGTTGAATTAATTGGTAGAATTGTCACCTCTACATATCGCGTGTGGCCGACAACGAAGAATACAACGAATTGAAACACATGAATTGCATCATGTCCTCCAAGCGGTCCAAAATGTCCCGTACACAATAACGTTAAAGCGAATGACAGTTCTTTATCATCCACCACAGCATCAACTGATTGTAAAAAGTTAATTAAATACATATTCGCATCAAAAAAGGAGCGTGATCGACAGACAATTTCCTGACTTTCCCTGCTAAAAATCTTTTACATTATAATCGTACAAAATCTAGTAAATCGGCCCAATGTATGTCGGTTGGTTGGTTGGTTTGTTAAGGTTTTTTGGCACAAAAGCCATATAGGCTATGCTGCGCCATGCCAAATGGTAAAGTTAAAAAGGTCATATATACATATATTAAAAATTAATAACAAATAACAATAACAAACATATACAACAGTAACAATAAATAAAAACAAGGTATACAAAAGTATAGATAAATAAATAGGTAAATAAATAAATATTCAAATTTGTTTATAAATATTAGTGACTTTCAGAAAGTCTAGTAAATTATTGACATTTGGCCTTTGGCTAAGGATTTCTGTCAGACAAGCATTTCCGAAATATTGTCTATGCCTTGTCTTGAAAGCAGAGCAATTGCACAGCATGTGTTTTACACTTAGGGTGCAGTTGCAATACTCACATACTGGCTGGTCTTCACCCTTCAAAAGGTATAAATGAGTCAACCGAGTATGCCCAATTCTCAAACGAGTAAGAATTACTTCAAATCTCCTGTCATAATGTTTGTTACGTGTCCAATTTTCTATATTTGGCTTGATCTCGTGTAGTTTATTGTGGATTTGTGCATTCCACATGTTTTGCCATCTCTCCGCTAGTCGTTTTTTAACTACTAGCTTCAAGTCACTTCCTTCGAGACACATTTCATGCTGTGAAGGACTAGCTGCCTTTGCAGCTGCATCAGCTTCTTCGTTCCCTCTTATGCCAACATGCCCAGGTACCCAACAAAATTTTATAGAGAGATTCCTCGTAAAAAGATGGCAAATAAGATTATGAATTTTAATCACTATAGAGTGAGAACTAGGTTCGCACGAGATCAAAGCCTGAAGTGCACTAACAGAGTCGGTGTAGATCACACAGCAACGATGACCTTTCCTATTTACATGCTTTAAGGCTAAATAAATAGCATGCAACTCTGCAGAAAAGATGGAAGAATTCAATGCAATTTGTTCTGCCACGATTTCATCCTGGCAGACGAAAGCTGAGCCAACGTAATCATCAGATTTAGATCCATCTGTATAAATAGGAATTAAATTCCTGTTACTATGTTGAATTTCTGCAAAGTGCTGTCTATAGACGTAGTCAGGTGTGGATTCCTTAGGAAATTGCTTTAGGCTAAGGTCAACATTTATCACAGGAGTTGACCAAGGTGATACACTACAGACCTCTAGCTGTGAAATGTTGCCTGTATCCAGGTCAATCGTGCTGCTCACATTCTCCATTCTTATGGCGAATAAAGGGACACTACTTGGGCGAGCTTCAAATAATCTTTTCAGCTGAGTATCTAATACTGTACAATCAACTGAAGGTTTACTAAAGGACTTTTGTTTTATATAATAAAATAGAGACAACTGTTCTCTCCTAAGAGATAGTGGTGGCTCATAAGCATCCACATACATACTTCGTACAGGAGAAGTTCGAAAAGCACCAGTGCACAAACGTAGTGCTTGATGGTGGATTGGATCCAGCATCCGAAGAGTAGATTCTCGCGCTGACCCATAAACAATGCATCCGTAGTCCAGCTTTGAGCGGACAAGGGCCCTATAAATCCTGAGCATAGAACATTTGTCTGCTCCCCAGGATGAGCAGCACAGTACCTTTAAAAGGTTCATAGATTTTAAACATCTACTCTTCAAATTGCGCAAGTGCGGCAAAAACGTTAGTTTATGGTCAAACAAAACACCCAAAAATTTTGCCTCATTCACCATTAGGATTTTGACCCCATTTAAGTAAATTTCAGGATCCAAGTGCAACCCACACCTTCGGCAGAAGTGGGTACACGAGGTCTTCTCAGTGTTAAAACTAAAACCATTGGTATTGGACCAATGGTCTATGCGATTTAGGGAGGTTTGCAGTTGTCTCTCAATGAAACTCATGTTGCTAGACTGGCAAGAGATCTGAAAGTCATCCACATACAGAGAGTGTTTCACACTAGGGGGAAGATAGTTAGCTATGCTATTAATTTTAATTAGAAACAGAGTCACACTCAAAATACATCCTTGATGAACACCTTCTTCTTGCACAAAAGATCTAGATAGTGTGTTGCCCATCCTAACTTGGAATCTGCGATTCTGCAGGAAGCTTTTTATAAAAACTGGCAAATTACCCCGCAGTCCGAATTCATGTAAATAACAAAGTATTCCGTAACGCCAGCAGCGATCGTAGGCCTTTTCTATATCAAAGAAAACAGACACTAAGTGCTGTCGTCTAACAAACGCTTCGCGTATGGATGTTTCAAGTTTTACTAAATTGTCCGTGGTACTTCTGTTCCTACGAAATCCACTCTGATGTGGTGAAAANCGGCGAGGCAGATGTGGAATCTTTCCCAGTTGGTAGTGCGAATAATTTTATAGTTGGGAGTTACCTTATTGTCCTTGATGATAGTCTCAATATAATTGTGGTCACTGGCAGAGCAGTGGTCCACTGTACTACAGTAGATGTCCTGATTGAGAATCGTGGGGTTACCCAGGCAAACATCCACCCAGCTTTCCCCCCTAGCGGTGGAGTAAGTGGGCAATGGACTCTCGTTCAGCGAGGTTAGGTTGAACATGGCCATAAATTCGCACAGCCGGAAGCCCCTAGGATCTTCCACCGGGCTGTGCCAGAGATGTGATTTAGCGTTAAAATCACCAAGAATGAGCACGGAGTTGTGACTTAAACAGTCCATAGACTTTCCTAGCATTTCCAGGGGGGGCCCGAGGTCCTCATCAGGGGAACAGTAAAATGATATCACATACAACGAGTCTCTAGGGGTCTCGACCCTAACAGTAGTGAAGTAACTGGTGGAGTGTTGAGTTATCAGTTGCACGGTGAGACCTTTATTGTATACCACGATACCAGTTTTTATTCTATGATCACTGCATTTAGTTGTTAGTACCTTACCAGATCCGAGCATAGCCACCTTCTCATTTACCACATATGGTTCCTGGATCACCAACAGGTCTACATCCTTGCTTAATGCCATATGCAGAGCTTCAGAGGAGGCAGCTTTTGCCCTCTGCAAATTGATTTGCAGGATCTTTAGGTTCGATGGCTTGCTATCCATTATCAGGTGACTACAACAGAACACTGTCCCCAAGTCTGAAGATGTACTATTCGTACTGTATTAACTTAATTTGGTTGACCTTATACCGCTGTAACTGTGGACAGCATTTGTCGAAAGCGTTGTGGTCCGTTTGTAATGCTCTGTGTTCCGGCACCGTTTTATTATACCTCCTGCAGTTTACACATATTGGGTCTTTTCCCAGGTTAGGGCACTCCTTAAACTTATGTTTATTGGTGCACTGGGTGTACCTTTGCTTGTCAGTACAACTGTAGGAAGTGTGCCCGAACCCAGCACAGTTGTAACACCGAGTTATGTCTATATAGTCGTCAATGGCTATGGAACTCCATCCCAGAAAGACCCTTCGTTGTTGCATGAGAATGTTCCGTACGTCTGGTCTCACGCTTATAACAGTGTGAGTACGTTGACTGCCTCCCGTTGTGTGGAAACTATGTGATACTTTTGTACTTTCAAGAAATTCTTCCTCGCTAATTCCTTCCTGAATTTTATTATTTTGTCTGTAAATGTCTTTGATCAATTCTGCTCCTTCTTGATCGGTAGGCGCATTATAGAGGATTATCTTTGGGGACTTCTTTCTTCTTTCGGTGACTTTAATTTTATCAGCGAGTCCTTCTTCTGACTGCACCGCTTTTTTTAGGGTTTGTACGTCCTTGTCATCTAAAACTTGTATTTTTAAGTTTCCCTCAGGGAGGGGACGGATGGCTTTTATTTTTATTCCCAGCTGTTTGGGATCTACGTGGCTCTGTAGTAAGTCCAGTGTTTCCTCTGGTATAGGAGTGGGCATGTCTGGTTGTTTAATGACCGATACTATAATTTCATGGTTGATGTTTCTCGGATTTTTTACCCCTTCGAGCGCTGCAGATTTTTCGGCTATTAGTTTGGTCGTTTTACTCTTAGGGTTGCCAGCCCGTTTTGTGACCTCTGCGTAGGTGCTTATGCTTGGTCTCTCATTTGACCTGGCTAGAGTTTTAACACGCTCCCTTAGTTCGAGCACCATTCCGAAAATCTGGTTTGCGGCCGCATGCATCTTTACAGCAGCCTCTTTAACAGCTGTCCTTTCTTTAGATTTCACAGATACGCTCGAGTTCGATGGTATTTTGGAGAAGATCACCTCCAGTTGCTCGTTAATAGTATTTAGGATATCTTCTTCTATGAAGCTATTATTAGAGACAGTAAAGTCCTCTTTATCCCCCTCCATGATTGATAATAATTAAATGGATATAACAGAAAGAAGCAGGGAATTTTAACGAGTCTAATGATATATCACACACCAAGATGCTCCCAGAAAAACACCCCAAAACAGCCGAAAACCGCCGAATTAGGGGCTGGTAGGGTATGACCACGTGGCGAGGACGATGACCTTTGACTCCTTTGTGTTGAGGTCAATATAAGAATGATCGTAACTTAAGTTCTAGTGGACGCAAATGGATGAAACTTTTTCCAATAGATAAATAGAATCCCAGACATCGAGATACCAAAAATGAACCTGATCGGAGGCCCGAAAAGTCCGCATGAAGGCCCGATATCATACACGTGTTGGCCTCGAAAAAGGAGAACGGCTCGTCCGATATTAAAAATATTAACGGCGATAGAACCGGCATAAAAACCGCTTTCAAACGATATATAGAATAACCACTAACCAGCGGAATTCACCCGGAGATGGCGGCCGGAATATCTAAAACTTCCGGAGGTCGAATCTTCTGAACCGTTAATCCGATCCGGACGAATAAGACATAAAACGATAGCCCTCAAAGAGATGTATCTAAAGATGTATAATAATCCACGGATTGATGAGTTGTTTCGCCGATGCGATGATCGAAATTCGGAGCACGTAGAACACACTACCATACGGTACCGTGACCAGGGGTCCTCTTAAAGTAGCTGATGCAGCTGCAAAGTCAGCTAGTCCTTCACAGCATACAATGCATATTGAAGGAGGCGATTTGAAGCTACTCGTTAAGAAACAACTAGTGGCGAGATAGCAAAATATGTGGAATGCACAAGTCCACAATAAACTACATGAGATCAAACCTATGATAGAAAATTGGACACATAATAAATATTACGACAGGAGATCTGAGGTTATTTTTACTTGTCTAAGGATTGGACATACTCGGTTGACTCATCAATACCTTTTGAAGGATGAAGAGCAACCAGTATGCCAGTATTGCAACTGCTCTCTAAGTGTTAAACACATACTGCTCGATTGCTCTGCCTTTGAGAACAGTCATAGACAGCATTTTGGAGATGCAAGTTTGAAAGAGATTCTGGGCCAGAGACCAAATCATCATAATGTATTGGACTTTTTAAAAGTCATTAATTTGTATAAAGAAATTTAATTAATTATTTATTTATATATTTATTTCATTTTTGCATGTTGTTGTCTGTTTGTACTTACTATGTGTATATTTATTTTTGTTGTTGTTGTTTATTTATTTAGTTATTACTGTCATATGTTAGTTATTTATCATGTTTAAAATTTTTTAACCATTTGCCCTGGCGCAGCATATCCTATACGGCTCGTGTGTCAATAAGCAAAAACCAACCAACCAACCCTTTGGCTTTGCCTTCTTATTTTTCTGGCATTTGCTTTTGCTTTTTGAAAAGCTATCAAATTGTTAGTAGTGGGGTACTTTCTAAAAATTCCCAATGCTTTCTTTTCTGCTTTATATGCTGCCTTGCAATTTTGGTTCCACCATGCTTTTGGATGTTTTGGATATCTAGTTGATGTTTCCCCATTGTTTTTTCTGTTGCCTGAATGATACTGGAAGTGACAACTTCAACTGCATCATTGATATCAGCAGTATTGACCATTTCCTCAGTGATGTTAGACAAAGAGAAGAATGAAGGCCAATCTGTTGTTTCAAGTTTCCAGCATGGTGGATGGGCTGTTTCACAGTTTTCTCTGCCTCGGTATTTTAGAAATATTGGGAAGTGGTCACTAGAGAGTAGATTACATCCAACCTCACATGTAAATGCAGAAAACAGGTTTGTACTTGCTAAAGATAGATCAATGGCAGTGAATGTTCTTGTTAGGGCATGGAAGTATGTCACTTCTCCAGTATTGTATAGGTATAGTTGGTGATTACCTATAAATCTCTCAATGGCTCTGCCTCTGCAGTTGATGTCAAGACTGCTCCACATAGGATTGTGGCCATTGAAATCACCAAGTAAAATAAATGGAGTCGGCATCTGTTCAACCAAGGCATCCAATTAATTCTCATTGACTCTGACGTCTGGTGGCAAGTATATAGAACAAACTGTGACATTTACTCCAATAGATATTCTGACTGCCACAGCTTGCAAATCAGTTGCTATTTGTACCGGCAAAGATGGGATGTGATTTGAAACAACAATAGCCACCCCTCCAGTGGCACGGTTGTGGCTACCGTCATCCTTGCGGTAAAGATTGAATCTTATCAAACAAATATTGTCTCTAGGTTTTAGATGGGTTTCCTGGAGTGCCACACAGAGAGATTGCATAGATGTTGTCAAGTGTTTAACGTCAGAGAAGTTGTTGCGGAAACCACAACAGTTCCATTGGATTATTTTATAATCCATTATGTGTTTGAGGCAGCATTCTTTGAGAATGTATCTCTTTTTAATCTCACAGGGGGTGTTTCTTTTCGAGGTGAGGTTGATTTTATAACCTCAATATTTGTCTCTTTGTCAGAGATATCAGAAAACTCACTCATAGTGTGAGCTTCTGATTTTTTTGAGGCTTTACAGAGGGCTGCTTTCATTCTTTGTTTGTGAAGTGGGTTCTTACTGGCTTTTTTAGAACCCACATTCCTGGTTGTTACTCCAGGTTTGGTTACAGAGGTTTTGCTTTTTGTATTCTCCTTTTCTTCTGATTGTGTAGGTGGGATCAGTAAACATTTTGCATGGCGAGTAAGGCTAAGACTCCACTACCGTAAAAACGGCGTAAAAACCCTTCACCGTAAAAGCTTTTAATCACGTGATACTGATATCTTACGCTTCAGCAGGGCGTAAAACCAGCGTAAAAGCGAGTTGAGCTATGTTCAACTTTCGATGCGAATACGGCCGTAAAGAGGTAACTTCCACCAATCAGAAGTTAGTGAAATCTAGGTCATCACGACACGGAGCTAAAATGACAGAAAACGAGCTTTTGTGTACATTTCCTCGTGGCTACTCTAGAATAGATCTGGAAAGATTCCGAAAACATCGAAAGTATTTGTGTATCTATGACAAGAGGTAACCTGATTATAATAATGGATATCAAAGGAAATCCTTCGATTTAGAGGAGTATATAATAAAAAAGCTAAGCTTATAAGTGCTGTATATTATCTTAATAATACGATAATAAAAGTTAGTATATGAAAGTAAAGATATTTTTACTACATTTGTAATTATAGTACAGAAAAAACTTGTAGAATATAATCATTGTCTTTATATCGATATATCACATATACAACTGTCTTTCGTTTCTACCAATTCACGTGCGACACTTGGGGCAGCATCATTGCCGTAAAAACTTCGCGCTAGCCGGACCTCCACTATAATCCGAGCGCAAACGCAAATAGGTCACGTGATTAAAAACTTTTACGGCGAGGGGTTTTTATGCCGTTTTTACGGTAGTGGAGTCTTAGCCTAAGAGATTCCTTTGGGGAGACAGAAATATCTGTTTGAACCCCACATGTCTTGGTAGATTTCAACACAGCAGCAAAGGTTTTTTGTTTTGTTGGTAAACTTTGGGTGACCATACGACGGGCCTCTGTGTATAATATATTATTTATGGTTTTTAAACGTTGAACCTCTTTTTCTCTGTGCCATGCAGGGCATTTCCGAGAGTAAGAAGGATGGGCGTCTCTACAGTTCACACAGCATGGGATACTTTTACATTCAGTACTAACGTGGTCTTCAGTCCCACACTGTGCGCATACGCTTTTGCCTCGGCAGGATGTCTGTGAATGTCCAAACTGTTGGCATTTAAAGCAACGCAGCGGATTTGGAACGTACGGGCGGACTGGACAGCGCAGATATCCTGCAGTAATGAAAGATGGCAATGTTGATTTGTTAAAAGTTAAAATTAAGTGTTTAGTAGCAATTAACTTGCCATCTCGATGAATGGAGATGCGTCGAACGGCAGTTACACCTTGATCAGAAAGGCCGATCTGAATATCTGATTCATCTTCAGACATCAGATCAATCTCTGATATTACACCACGTGATAAGTTTAGACTTCCATGTGGGGTGATAGTTGCTTTTATATCTCCGAGTGTCTTAATTGCCAAAAGTTTTGCAGACTGTTGAGGTGAGGCTGTTTCTAGAAGCAGATCTTCTGACCTCAATTTTTGTATTTTTTCAAATTTCCAACTGTAGATTCAAACAATTTCTGGATCAGAAAAGGAGAACATTTTGACATAGGTGTTTGTCCAGTAGCATGGACTATGAAGTAGGTTGGCTGACTGGAAATGATTTGTTTCCGTGTAGAATTGTCTGTAGTGTTTGTTTTTTGATGATCCATGATTATGTAGTATTAATTCAGCTCCCAGTGACCCCACCCACCATGGGGTTCAACAATGGGATGCCGTCACATGAGAGATTCCCATAGACTATTACACCAGGGTTTCCCAGGAGCTATACTTTCACAATGCAGTCGAGAAGAGCACATCTTGTCTGACGTGTCTGCCCGGTCTGCATCGATCGGTTGACTCCAAGCTGAGGTCAAGAATGACTCAGCGACCAGCCGATTGACTCAAACGGAGCCTGATTTCAGCCTCCCGTTTATCCGAAGCAGGGGCCAAAGCAGTGTGTTGGGGATGTTATGTTGCCCCAACTACCAGGATCCCCCTTTCCAGCATACAGGACACCACGCACGGCAAACACGTGGGTGGGCATTCAGATCCCAGGGATTGTAAAGATGAGTTACTAAACCATTTCTGGGAGGTCCCCTCACCACGGACAGGAACCCACATCGAGGGGGCCTGATTTGAGCCTCTTGTTTATCCGAAACAGGGGCCAAAGCAGTGTGTTAAGGACGGTATGTTGCCCCTCAACTACCAGGATCCCCCTTTCCGGCGTACGGGATACCATATAACATTAGACAGCAATTAGGCAGGCTGACACAATACACTAAAAACAACATAACACCCAAATTAAAGAAACAACTCAAAAACATTTTCAAGAAAATTAAAACACACACAAAACATGAACATCGCAACACACACATTACAGAATACATCGATACACTAAAACAAAAACTCGCAGCCAAAGCACGTAGACTCAAACGATACAAAACATGTACATTACGAAAACAACAAAATAAATTATTCACAAACAACGAAAAACTTTTCTACAGACAAATCAGTACCAAAACAAA